TTTTGATATCGGGGTCGGAATCCGATTCTGAAAGTTGGAGTAGGTCCGTAATATCGAATATGACTTGTGCGCAAAATTTGAAGTCAATCGGACGTGATTTGATAGGTTTAAACATCGAAAGTAGAAGTTTGAAATTCTAAAGTTCATAAAGTTTGGATTGGAGGTCGATTCGTGGTTTAACCGTTGTTTGACATGATTTGAGGCCTTGAGCAAGTCTGTAATATGTTTTGGGACTGGTTGGTATGATTGGTTGGGGTCCCGTGGGCCTCGGGTGGATTCCGGGTGGTTAATGGATCGAAAACGAAATTTTTAAAAGGCTGAAGCTGCTAGTTGCTGGTATAACCGCACCTGCGAGACTTGGGCCGCAGGTGCGGAGCCGCAGAAGTGGCCAGAGGAGCCGCAGATGCGGTTTTGGACCAGAAGTGAAGGGACCGCAGATGCGGTCATGCAGCCGCAGAAGCGGGACCGCACCAGTGGCGGTAGAGTCGTAGAAGCGGAAAAGAGGGCCTGGTGAGAGAACCGCAGGAGCGGTAGAAGTGCCGCACCTGCGGAATCGCAGAAGCGGTCAAAGGACCGCAGGTGCGGAAGTGCCGGAGGCAGAATGGTTCTTTTAAAATCGATTACCATTTTCTCTCATATTTTCTTGGCTTGGGCGATTCTTAGGGGTGTGCATTCGATTTATCGATTCGATTTTGACCCTTATCGATAATTACTTATCGATTATCGATTTGTACATATGCTTATCGTTATCGTTTCAATAAGGTTTCGATTTTTTCGATTTCGATTTATCGATTTTGGGGGCTTATCGATTCGGTTATCGATTACACCAATAAGAAAATTTGCGGGATTCCACGGAAAGTATATCGCTATAAACGCGCCTAACTAATATGGACAAAAAGAAGCTAAAATAAGACGAACACCATTTATAATATAAAAATTGTGTCAACAAGCACATGCAACAAAACTAAAGTAAGGGATCAAATGTATGCCACCAACACTCCAACGGTATAAAAAAAAAAAAAAGCAAAACACATCATCACGGCTAATTCTGTTTTCCATTAATTTGAACTTCATTCCCTTGATCTTTAAATATGATCATTCCTTAAATGTGGTAGAGGAAATAATAGGGTAAGGGACTTAGGGTAAAGGAACGTTAAGGGGTTAAAGGTAAAAGGGTACCTTTAGGACCTTTACCCGGGAAAAACGTAAACTTAACTTAAGGTTAAAAATTAACGTTTTCCCGTCGTTTAAAACGAAAAAATTTAGGGTTAAAGGACGGTAAAGTAAAACGGGTAAGTAAATTAAAAACGAAATTTACGTAAAGGTTAGGGTAACCGTTTTACTTACTTTAAACTTTCGTAACTAACTAAACCCTTAAACGGGTAAACTTAACGTACGAAAGGTTTAACGAAAGGTTAGGGGTTCGTACGATGTGCATTCGATTTATCGATTCGATTTTGACCCTTATCGATAATTACTTATCGATTATCGATTTGTACATATGCTTATCGTTATCGTTTCAATAAGGTTTCGATTTTTTCGATTTCGATTTCGATAACAAATAATCGATTCGATTTATCGATAAACCGATTCGAATGCACACCCCTAGCGATTCTTGGAGAGTTTCAAGAGGGGGTTTTCATCATCAACGATAAGGTAAGCTAATCCCACCTATCTTGAGTTAAATATATCGATTATGTATGGATTTTAGCATGTAAATTGGTAGAAGTTTGGGGGTTTGAGGATTACCTAGAAAATTGATATTCTTGGAATTTGACCACGATTTGGGTATGAAATTGAGAATAAATTATATATTTGAGTTCGAGGGGTTATGGGTAAGCTTAATCTTCAAAAATTTTTGGAATCCGGGCACGTGGGCCTGACGGCATTTTTGTCAACTTTTCGATCGGGGTTAGGAATTGTTATAAATTGGATTAATATGAGTAGTTTATCGTATATTAATGGATTTGCATAATCATTGGCTAGTTTTGGAGCATTTAGCATCGATTCAAGTCTTCGGAAGGGCGTGGAATGCCGGTTATGGATCTTCGGAGCAAGGTGAGTCTCCTTTTTAACCTTGTAAGAGGGAATTGTCCCCATAGGTGAAATAATTGGTTATGTGCTCCTATTTGTGGGGGCTACGTACGCACGAGGTGACGAGAGTCCGTGCCTAGCTACTAATATGTGTAAATCCGGGTAGTCTAGGACCCAAAAGCATGCTATACTTGGAATAATTATAATCTTATTGACAGTTGAATTTCTTAAATCCTATCGAATTGGTAACTGAATTTCTAAGAGGATTAAACTTTATTTTCTTAAATCATTAAAAGAGAAATTGGCTTCTAATGGGATAAATGCTCCCCGTAAAATTTAATTTGCTGTTTGAGCATGTATTTCTATGTGTACCTGCGTCGCATGTATGGTACGCGAGTAGGGTGATTGTTTATTTAAATTTGACCGCGTCGCATGTATGATTCGCGCAGGGTAATAGATGCATCTATGGTTCGGGCCGCTCGACCCTCGGCAATGCACATTTTACGTTTATGTTGGATCGGGCCGTACAACCCCGGCATGAGTTGCGCATGTTTGAATTGCTTGTCTTGAGATTTATTGATATTGCCATCTGCTCTCCCCGACTTGAGAAATTGTTAATTAATGGATTATGAATCCGGAGACTTTTTAATAAAAGAGGAACTTTTACCTATTTAGTAATTCATTTGAATCTACTGCTGTCCTTAATAAATTCGTGAGTGATCGCTTTAATAATATTATTATTTGACCATTAGTAAGTGTCGAAGTTGCCATCTTGTCTCTACTTCTTCGAGCTTAGGCGGGATACTTACTGAGTACACGTTATTTTCGTACTCATGCTACACTTGCTGTGCATTTTGTTGCACAGGTACAGGTATTTCTATTGGCCCATTGCGCGTAGCAGCACGGGCGACCCGGAGACTAGGTGAGCTGTATTTCCTCGAGGCGACCCGCAGCTAGTATAGTCTCTCTCAGAATTGTATTTACTCTCTGTCCATTTGTGTTCCGGACAGCTGTTGTACTTTATTCAAATTCTTAGAAAAAGCTCATGTACTTATGACACCAGGTTTTGGGATGGTTATGAAGTATTTTGTATTAATTGCTTATCATTTAATTTGAATTGAAGCGATTATCTTTTTTTTTATTTGTAAGTTTGGAGGAAAATCATAGATTTCAAGAGTATTTAAACGAGAATTTAATTAAGTAATTTGGTTGGCTTGCCTGACGGTGGTGTCCGGCGCCATCACGACCCTCAGTGGATTTTGGGTCGTGACAAAAAGTGACCCGAGGGAGTAAAACTTTTTCTTTCGTAATAAGAAACTAAAATACAACTGATATAACTAACTTTAGAATCTTAATTGATTAAATAAAAATTTCCTAAAACAAAATCATTCCTACCAATCTTAAAAATGTCATTTTCAAGTATTTGTTGATTAAACGACGACAGCACTATTCTCCAATGTGAGAAAAAACACTTTAAATTCTCTCTCCACTCTACTCCCCCACCCCCACCCCCCACCCACCCACAACAACAACAAAGTTTTTAAAAAAATATTTTTCTAATAGTTAATTTTCCTATTTATTAACTTATTTCTTTATTTCAGTAATAATTTGTTGCCCATACTGTACAGCCAATATTTTTTTCTAAATCAGTTATGGCCCCTATTATTTTTTAATCCCAAAACAGCTCAAATCACCAGGCAAAAGAGGACAAGAAAACATTCTGCCACTGCACTCTTTTATGTACTTATCCCTATAGTCTATAGATAACAAATTTTTTAAAAGAGAAGTGAATTTTATGTGTCATATTGTGAATCCCAATGTAAAACAATTAAGTTAATAAATGTTAAAAACGAGTCTAAGAACAACATCAGCAATAACAAACTGATAATGCTAAAGTACTTAAACAAAAGAATATTCATAAAAAACACTTACTTTAACAACCATCTTTAGTCTAAAGTGTCTAATTATGAATTTGAGCATTCAAGATTAGCACTTTATACTAATGCTTTTATCGGTGGCTGCATATCCTTTTCCAACCCTGTAAGGCCCCCCCCCCCCCCC